TAGTAAAATTATACCAAAGGTCCAATATTGAGAACGTTCTCAAGGTGGGTATTGCCGTCGGTTCTTATGCGAGCTCTACCCACTATACACATAGAATTTTGTTCGGGAAGCAATCGTATGGGGACAACTCGAACATCCTAACCTTCTACCGTTCCTTGGCCTCTTCTTCCTCGGTGAAAGCAAACAGCGTTTATGTCTCATCTCTCCATGGATGGAAAACGGAAATCTGACTCAATTTCTTGACCGAACACCAAGAACCGAGGTCAATCATCGACAATTAGTACGTCACCGTTGAGGAAATCCAATACAACAACTTCCACTGACACTGGATGTAGGTTTGGGACGTAGCGAATGGTCTTCAGTGTTTACATCATATGAAGATCATCCACGCTGATCTTAAAGGAGTGAGTTGTGCATGCCATATCTACGATCATGATATACTAACTTTCTCCTTATGAAAGGCCAACATCTTAGTTACAAGATATGGCAGAGCCGCAGTCAGCGATTTTGGACTTTCCTATGTAGCGGAAGGCGAGGTGTTGAGAATGACTTCCTCAAGTGCTTTGCTAGGTGGAACGATTCGATGGCTCGCTCCGGAGCTCCTGAGTCGCGAGTCAAGACCGTCATATAAAACTGATATCTATGCTTTCGGCTGCGTATGCTATGAGGTGCGTTGGTAACATTCCATCTATCATGAATGCATCTTTATCCCGCACTAGATATATACCGGATTTTGCCCATTTTACAATTTGCGTTCCGATGCTGCTGTGATCCTTCAGGTCATTAAGGGTGATCGTCCCTCGCGTCCCAACGACCTTTTGGAACTGGATGATGATGTATGGGCGCTTATGCATCAATGTTGGTTGGCCGAGTCGTCATCCAGACCTGACATCGACAGCTTAAAGCAGCTTCTCTACTCCCTATTCGGAGCTATCGAGTCACCACCGCAATGGGATTTGGCTACATTGAAGCATATTTGGCGCGATGTTAGAGAACCTGGCATGGCTTATAACAGCCGACAGGTCACAAATTTCCTATCTCGCTCCTACGAAAATCTACAGACAAGGTGAGTCGCCTTCACGCTTCAGGGAAACCAATGTGTTACTAATTTGGTATAGAGTGTTCGATAAAGAGCTTGAAGATTTTGGTCTTGCCCGTAGCACAAATTTCCGACAGCCACTGGCACGACCTATCCCCAAAGACGTATCAGGTGCAACCAACATCAGAGGATGGCTCAGTTGCAATACTGATAAGGGAATGAATGACGACAACTACAGTATGCTTCGGAACAGGGATGAAGGATGTGAAGGGAGCAGCGGGGAATTTGACAGCTTAACAATGCACATAGGTGAATATATTTTCTTAGATGGTCAGTTTGTCGTAAACTTGAATACTAATAGTACATGTCCTGTTTGCAGGTTACCTCACAGCAACCGGTCGAGAGGATTGGGCAACTGCGCTCTATATCTGTGACTGTGCTTCTTCCGACCAGACGCTAGCAGAAGAAGCCGCCCGTGCACTACGCAGAGAATTCAAGTATGGTGAACCGTCAGCACAGTTGAATGCCGTGAGGGTAATCGAGTCCCTTTTGTTATTGGTATAGAGCTAACTATTGACCCTAGCTTTGGGCAATATTGCTCCTAAATGCTAACGAGATCATCATGGCACAGTTAATGTCGTGCAAGTTTTTGAAAACCCTGGAAAACTTAGTTGTCAATCCTAAGATCAATCATGATGTTAAGGAACGTGTATTGTACGTAGTTGCAGCGGCAGCGTATGCATCTGAGGGCGGTGAGTCAGCCGCACATATTATGTCTCTTGCTCGACACTAACACTTTGTGTAAGGAGATACTGCTGGCTTTAAAGGTCTGTGGAAAAAGATCAAGCCACACGATAAACCGGCAGAGGTAACTTCCATTCAATCTTGCACTATCTCAGATATAACAAAACACACAGGGAGAGCCTTTGCGCATCAGCGCCATATTCAATATTCCCTCAGCAATTAACGATCGACTTTTATCAAGCCCTATCCATGATATGCGTCCATCGCCACTTCGAAAAATGCTGCTCGATGCTACTGTGGACAGAGATTGACGGTGACACTGAAAAGAATGGCAATCAATACTATTTAACGGATGGCACAATATGTAGACACGATGACATATGGACCACTCTTTGAACATTTTTTATGATTGATTCCTGGAATTGGCCACATTGACCTCTTCAAGAACTTTTGGAAGCGGCGTTGAAGTTACGCGTGACCATTCCAGCGACGGGGAAGTACCTGGCAATCCAGCATTAGGTACAAAACCAATTGATCGCCATGGGAATACTCACTTGTCAAGGTATGGGGTCAACTCAGGGTACCCAGGAGTGTCTCTCCAGTCCCTCATAAGCTCCCCAACAATAGCGAACAAAGACAGCACGTGGACGCCAGCTGCCCTCATTCGTTCATTTGCCTCATCGGCAATACGCTTGCTGTAAGTACCGGACGCCTCAGAGTTGGCAAACACCTCGTATCCCTCTTCGATTAGCGACAAAGCCAGGAAAGCAGTGCAGACCTAGTGGGTGTTCGCGTGATGAGTCAATTGCTAGAGCGCGCGGATTGAGGTTGAACGTACATCGGTTACAATACCGCCAATGATAACCTGCTTCTTGCCAGTCGCCTTAACCGCAGCGCGGAATTCGGGGTTGTCCCAGGCATTGACTTCGCCTTTACGCCTGATGAGGGGAGCATTGGAATGCATATCGAGGACCTCCTGTAGCATCGGTCCATTTGGTCCTGATGTATCCTGTCAGTATGCAAGACTCGGAACCAGGTAAAGAATCTACGAACCATCGTCTGTGCTCGTGGTCATGACAGTGGGCAAGTTGAAGACTTTGGCCAGAGCAGCATGAGCGAGAACACTGTTCCTAAATTCGGCGGGCTCATAGTCCCTCACAAGTTCAAAGAGGCCAATTTGGTGGTCGATAACAAGGAGCATGGCGTCATCTTTGCGGATACGCTGGTATTTGAATCCGGAAGCTGCGAAGTTCTCAGTGCCAGTGAACGATTAAAAGTCAAGGTTTACGAACCGGGCATGGCTGGTGAGGTAGTTTTTCTTTTTGAGAGGGTTTACTGAAGTGCAGAGGAGTTCGAGGGATGCTGATTTCTTGGAGATGGCCATTGCTCTTATATAGTGCTGAGTTTCGTACGGGCGCGTCGCGTCTCGTGAGCGGACGTCAGTGTTGAATGCGATTGAGTAATTTCCTGGTCACTCCTATTGAGAACCGAAGGATTTGAACAGGATTGAATCAGCGAATATGCATAATCTAAATGAAAGTCGGAGGCCCTGGGATCTGAACGAGATAGAAAATTAGTGATATGCCAAGATGTGTTGGATCTGGCGACGGTGTTGAACGGGAACGTGAGGAGAAAATGAACACTTACAGCAAGCCTTGACAGCGCTCCTCTCGACTTCTTGATTCTCGAGCGAGATTACATTGTTTGCAGGCAAGACCTTTACTGAAGCCAAGGATTCTCCAGTACCGTCAAGCCCTTCCCGACCTCCAATCAAACCCGCTCTGAAGAGTCGTATGACTAGTCTCTCGTCTCTGTACTAAGCCAGTATTCGGAAGAAAAAGGTGTCCTTGTTCGTGATGGATCCCTGTACATAGTTTCGGATTCGTCTAGGAAACCCTGTTGACTGCATTGAGATGTATAGGCTGAGAATGCCAAAGATGCTGACAGCGACGGTGGTCTGCAACAAAAAAGGAATTGCCGAGAAATTGCCGCCGCTTGCTCGGTTCTCACCACGACCACCACTATCGAGTGCTACCGTTAGTACTTATTCCCTCTGGACCAGGAAATATACCTCAGATTCATCAAAACTATGCTCATATATACTCTTTGGGTTGACCAAAATCACATCCTCCGTCACGGTTTGTGAGCTCTCAAATTTCAATGACTCTTCCCTCGAAAGTGAGCTCAGTGTCTCTTATTTCTACGTTCGCTATTAACTGAACCTTAAAATTCAGGGTAAAATCATCTCGCAGAGAAACTTTTATATCGGTGCAGAACGCTGGAGATGACCATACGCCGTCCCAATGAATGGCTCAGGGCACTCACGCCATATGTTTTCAGAGTCCAGACATCTCAAAAGTATCGGGAAAGCATCGCTTCGACCGCTTCGACCTCCATTTCGACTTTCGTGTTCCTTTTTCTCCGAGACGGGATATTCCAGACTCACAGAACTTAGAAGGATGTCTCTTATTCGAAGGTATCGCTTGTACGTACCACGACGATGTCCTCGCGATTGGTTCAGAGTATCATTAATATATGCTGAACCGCAATGCATCATAGTCAAGGTGATTGTTCTCTGATTTCTTCGCCCGTCAGCTTTTTTGACTGAACCTAAAATTTCAGGGTGAACAATTCAACAGTACTGGTACCTGGACGTGGTGGTACATACAGAGCTGGAGATACTTGGCACCTGGGCTCCAAGTTGCTATAATTTTAAACTGATCTCAATACTTGTGCCCTCAGGTTGAGGCTGAACAGATAATCCACCTCGCACTAGGCGCGACCGAATCCGAATCCGACAAACGTCTGCCGAAGTTATCGCAGGAAGACTCCTTCAATCTCAAGGTAAGGAGCTCAGAGCTCTTCTTCGGAATGATCTTGGGTTAATTTATATTACAGGTCGCATGGCCGAGGGTTGCCGTTTTAAGAAGTAGAACTCCCATTGCCAAAGCGCGCGGCGCGTCGGTGCTCCGCGCCTCGAGGAACGTGTACACGGGTATGAGGTGTCCAGCTTCGTCGCGTGTAGGTCCTCTACATCGTGTTCCTGGTCCCGCCAGCCTGAGGTACGTACGTGGTGCACCTTTGTGTTCGGATGTTGACAACACCGATGGTGATAGATTTGCGGCGCCAAATAATCTTGCAGTTTCCAGCATGGCGTCATAGATACCAGGGATATCCTACTCGCTGCTCAACAAAAATTACACTCCAGTACATGTATAGCCCACCCTGGGATTTGAACCCAGCTCTCGCAAGTTTTCTTTGTTTTATAATCAAGGTCATAGGGGGTAAGCATGTTGATTGACATGGGCTTAGTGCGAGATAGTCACCACTAGACCAGGCGGGCCAAGGGAAGAGAGGTAAAGAAGGTGTGTTGATACAATCTATGATGTGGTTTGGCATGAGAAGGAAGGGGACCAAATGCAGTAGTGCGCTGAGGGCTCGGAGATTCCATGTGGATGTCATTGTGTTGGAAGCCGAAGTTCGGGGGTGTGGCGACTGTGGCTGTGCAAGCGAGGAACGATATTCAGGACGTTAGACAACAACGAGTGGATTCCCCATACGACTCGGAAGTGGTTTCGAGGTTCGAGCGCGCAATTGACGCGAGGCCAAGACCTGGAGAAAAACCTCAGCGTGGTTTCCCATGTGAACAGAATAACCGGTAAAACACCAAGAGAAGCGAAGGAGGAGTGAGGGGACGTCCCTGGGAAGCATGGAGCAAAAAAAGAGGTGCTCGGTTAGGACATGCCTTCCAGAGGAATTAGGATTGACCGAATGATATTCCGGAGCATAGGACCGAGGAGGACATGGGGATCTAGATCGGGGATTTATGATACAAAGTAGTAAATAAGCGGGACCGCGATGCGTATGTGACGGTGGTTACTCCAATGTTCAGAGATATGTCAAGTTGGAGGTCCCTCGTAGCTGTCCCGTCCGCGACTTGAAAACTGGTTGGAAAGCTTCATTGTTGATATGCTCGTGACCATACACAGCCACGACTCAAGTCACTCTGGTCACATTTTGTGACAGGTGTCTGCTGTGAGACAACCAAGCGTCGCAGGACACAAAGTTGTGCGATTAGCCAGGAAACTCGACTCCTCTACGACATCTCCGCTTCCACTTTTCCGCTCCGTTTTATTTTTTTACTCGAATTTTTTAATCTTTTCCCCCGGAACGTCCAGGTATGCCCTCAAAAACAAAACTTTTTTGCCCTTCTTCCCCCCTACTCCTCCCGAAAGTCCCGAGTTTACATGTTTACATTCCGGTTCTCACTTTGCATGTCCCCCCTTCCTTTTTCCGCACAGCCACTGATTCCTGTTTGGTTTTCATAGACAAGTCCAACTTTTTGGTTTCCTTCGAGGCGTGTATGTTATTCCAATCCATCCCACGTGTCCCGTCCCCTCATGTATAATTCAGGTCTTTTCCCCACAGCCTCCATATAATCTTACTTTTCGGGTGCTGGGTAAGCGCGTTCGTCTTTTTTATCAGTCGCGTTCTCGATGTATTGACAGAAACCGTCTTTTATCTAGGTTGTAGATGAACAACCAACAGTTCTCGCCCAACGCGGGTATGAACTCGATGGCTATGGGCGGTATGGGCGGTGGTGGTATGGGTGGTATGATGGGCATGGGAGGTGGTATGGGAGGTGGTATGGGTGCAGGGATGGGCAATAGCATGTCTGGAATGGGTGCTATGGGAGGTGGCGGCGGTATGAACAGCATGGGCAACAACATGGGCATGGGAATGGGAGGTAACATGGGAATGAGCGGTATGAACAACATGGGTGGTGGTGGTATGGGTGGTATGGGCATGAACATGGGTAACATGGGTGGAATGTCCGGAAATATGGCCAACATGAACAGCATGGGCGCCATGAACAACATGAACAGCATGGGTGGGATGACCGGCATGTCTGGTGGTGGTAATCCCAACATGAACATGAACATGAACCGCGGCGTCAATCCCAACCCAATGCTCCAGCATTCTCAACAGCAGGCGCGCATGAACTATCCCGGTTCAGGCGGAGGCGGCGGCATGATCCCGGATCGTCCTGGTACCAGCATGGGTTATCAAAACCAAGGGATGATAAACCAGAACTCCATGAACATGGGTGGCATGGGCATGAATCCTATGGGAGGCGGCATGGGAGGTAACATGGGCAACATGGGCGGTAACATGGGTGGCAACATGAACATGTCTGGTGGAATGTCGCCGTCGTCGCCTCAGAATCCTCAGAGCCAGCAGGCGCACTTGCATGGCTCTCAACCACAATCTCAACCACAACCACAATCCCAGCTTCCCCATCAATTATCGCCTCAGAACCAGAATCCCCTAGCTGGCCTGCAAAACAACCCCCAAGCACAAGCAATGCTCTACGGCGTTATCGGCCACATGGGATACACCACCGAGCAATTCAGAAACTTGCCACCTCAAGACCGAAACGGCGTCGTTCAGAAAGCCTGGCAGATCGTGCACGACCGATTTCAACGTCAACAGGCTAGTCAAGGCGGTCAGAACCAGAACCAGAACCAAGGCCAACCTGGTATGCAGCAGTCCCCCGGAATGGGTCCATCGGCTGGTGGTGGTCCAATGCAAGGTGGAATGCAGCCTGGCATGGGCATGGGTGGCAACCAAGGCTTACCACAGCAACCACAACAGCCGCACGAACGTCCAGGCTCTTCAGCATCTCACCACTCTGAGATGATGCCTCCACCACCACGACCGGCGTCCGTTTCACGGCCGAACACCGCGATGTCTATGGGTAGACCTGGCACAGGACACGGACGTGTACCAAGCTCACCAAGCCTCGGTCCTGGTCCTGGCATTGGTAGACCACCTAGTCGTGCTATGAGCGTGTCTAACGATATGGTTCCTCCCGGTACACCAACAATGAACGGCTATCCGCCTTCATCACAGCCCGGGATGATGAAACCACCTGGGACACCTCAGATGTCGAGCGCTCCTCACTCCCAGCTTGGTATGATGCCCGGCGGTACGCCTGGTATGCAACAGCCCCACCAGCATTCGCCACCGCCTGCGTCACCTGCTCACTCGGATTCTCATTCTTTGTCTCACGGACAAACACCAACGATAAAGAGAAAGGCGTCTGACGCTCAGATTCCCGTCAACGGTATGGTTACTGCGCCGAACATGGGTCCTAGACCTTCGAGTGCAGGTAATCAGAACAACATGAACATGGGTGGTATGGGTAATATGGGTATGGGTGGCAATATGGGTCAAGCTATGGGTATGAACATGGGTCCTGGTGGTAGTCCTATGGGCGGTATGCGCCACGGTTCCATGCCTCCACCTAGCGCCCCAAGCCAGACTCAGATACAAATTCCCACTGCAGACACTCAACGACAAGGTTCTCTACCGCCTCCTGGACCTGTCTCTGGTATGATGGGTGGCGTATCTGGGATGAACAAGCCTCTTTCGTCCGGACAGCGTATGCCTTCACTTGGGCCTGGAGGTTTGGATACTCTCGACAACTCATCTAACCAGATGAACATGGGTATGCCACCTCAAACGCCTTCGAGAGCAACCAGTCAAGCGCCTGTACAGCCTCCTTCGTTGCCACAGCCGTCTGCTAGCGCTCCTCCATCCTCTACAGGCGCTCAACCTCCCTTGAGTACAAGTAGCACACCTCAATCTCAAGCTGGTCCACAACAACCACAGCAGACCCAACAACAACAACAATCACAACCCCAACCATCCGTCCCAGGACCTGGTCATACGCGTTTACAACCTCCACCTCCATTACCTACTTCCGTGACTCTCAACCCAGCAGTAACAAAAGTAACACCAGTCCCTCTCGCTGGGAGTGATAAAACGATTCCTCCACTTGACGCATCGGAGATTAACGATATCAAAGAATGGATTGAGGTTGATAAGGCTTATGATACTGTTTATCAGGCTTCCAAGAACCGGTTTAGAGAGGAATTGATGGGTATGGGCGGGTCTGTTGGTGGTGCGTGGTGGGAAAAGGCACAGCCGGCCGCTGCGACGCAGAGTCGGTGGGATAAGACGCCGAGGTGGAAGAGGATTATTGCGGCTGGGGCTAGTGAGAGGTTTGATGTGAGGTATCCGGGACATTATGTGAGGAGAAGGGATCATGAGAGGGCTAGGGAGCGTGGAAGGCATGCGCAGAAGGGGCCGTTGAGAAGAGAAGGGTTGAAGTTGTAAGTGGTGTTTTTTTTTCTTGGTGTGTTATGGTTTGCTAATGGGGTACACTAGGCCGAGACGACTCACGGAAGAGGAGGCGAATATACCTGAGCAGCTTGTTCCTATAAGGCTGGAATTTGACGTGGATCCCCATTACAAGATGAGGGATACGTTCGTTTGGAATGTGAATGGTTAGTCTATATTGCTTATGTAAACTTTTTCTGTGCGATAACTGACACTTTTCGTAGACCCTGTGGTTACACCCGAAGCATTTGCTCAATCTCTTGTCGAGGATTACAACCTCGCCCCTTCTTACCACTCCCAGATCGTCAAAATCATCCAAGATCAGCTCCTCGATTTCAAAGCTCACTCACCCAAATTCCACGACGAAGAATTCGTCGGTGACGTCGAAATCGTTACTGGCAACCTCGAAGATGCTCGAGACGCCAAATGGTGGGAAGGCTGGAGAAAACGCGTTTGGGCGCAAAACGAGGGTGAAGGTCGAAAGAGGAAGAAGAGAAAGGTCGTGGATGAGGATGTTGATATGGCTGATGATGAAGGTGAAGGTTATGATCAACCGCAGTCTGTGGAGGAGCTCGTACGCCAATGTGATGAGAATCAGATGGAAGATGATATGCGTATTTTGGTCAAGGTAAGCTTTTTATATATGATCTCATTAATGTCCAGATGCTGATGATAGCATATAAGCTGGATATAACGATCGGCTCCATGAAGCTTGATGATCAGTTTGAGTGGGATATTGAATCTGTTGAAGAGGCCGAGAGGTTCGCCGAAATCTATGCCCGGGACTTGGGATTGGGCGGCGAGTTCAGGTAATTGTTTGGAAACATGATATCATGTTGTGGCTTACTGATTTTGAACGCGACAGGACTGCAATTGCACATTCTATACGAGAGCAAGTTCAAACCTATCAAAAGTCTCTCTTCTTGACTGGTGGCTTAGCCGGCATGGCGAGCATCACCGACGAAGATCTTCGTTCTGCCTTCCTTCCTCCTCTTTCATCTTCAGTGCACCCACCAGACGAAATTCAGTCCTTCACGCCCTTGCTCAACTATCTCTCTGATGGCGAGCTGGAGAGGAACGAGAAGGAGTTCAGCTCTAATCTCAAGCGTCGGAAACGTAACACTCGTGGCAGAAGAGGCGTCAACCTACCTGACCGTG